GGTAACACTCCTAAGCACAATCAGTTAACAGGAATCCAACTGTGTCAGCAGCATCACTGCATCTCCTTTATTCTTCAGATGACTAATTATTAACATCTGTCATTCTCTTCTTCAGTAATGTATTTGGTAAGGAACCATAAGGTTCAGTTAAATTCCTGAAATCCCTAGTCATTCTAGACCCTGCATCTCTATATCCTGGCAGGCATGGTGGTATAATTATTTCCCCTCTTTTGAAGTTTACAAACTCAAATTCATTATTCTTTGTAAAAGAAGGGGTAGAAACCTTTCAAAATCTCAATTAAAAACTCCAAATATGCAGCTACCCTAAAGTCTGTCTCAGAATTTTTTTTTGATGACTTTTGATCTCCTTCCTTTTTTTTAAAATTTTCTCACCTAGATATGATTTTACTGAAGATTAGGTTTAAATGGGTTCTGCCCCTACATAACCCTCTGTTGAACAAGCTCTTCACAAAAAAACCTCCCTTGCAATTCAGAACTACTACTTAAAAGTCTTCAAACAATAATCTTACTGTAATTCCAAATATGTTCTAACTCCAGTCAAAATTAAACAAGAAAACTAAAATTGTGCCTTTGATTCCTGTTAGACATCTTCAGAAAATACAAACTCCTTTTTCCTGTAATAGCAAATGTGCCCAAACTCCAAGTAAGCAATTTTGCAAGCTGACTCATAAACACCATCATATATGGTTTTAGCTGCAGCAATCATTTCCAGCAGTGTATCTTTTAGCTGCAGTTATGACCAAAGACAGAAAGCTTGCCAGAATCAAAAGCTGTCTTCAGAGAGGTTGGACTAAGACCAGGCAGCCGCCACTGCAGCTGTGCTCACTCACAGCAAAGTTTCATCAACTGTAGTATGAACTGCCCACCTAAACTCCAAACAGAGCATTGGCCATGTGACATGAAGATGCTAACTTCAGAGGACTTTCCCTAACATTTGTGTTTCGTTGCTACATGTTGCTCATCTGTGTGCACTGCTCTTCCCCAGCACTGACAGGTTGTGTCACCACTTTGAGAAGACATCCCTTCCCCATATTTTCACATGATACAGCTCCTGCCAGTTCCATGACACGTTTTCCTATTGTTTCAGGATTTCCTCTCACCTTTGGACAAAGGGCTAGGCCATTACCGAAGTTTTCCAAGTGGAAGAACATTTCCCATACGTGTGTCACTTTCAAAAGCCAAGTTCACTTTTGATGACACTTGTGGTTTCCCCTGCAGTGACACCCTTTCTGAAGCTAACTCCAGATTACTCATTAACTCCCCCCCACTCCCCTGTCAGGTCATCTGCAGTGCATATAGGGGATATTCCTTGTTCATCTGTCTTTATCGACGTCAACTGGTGGGACAACAGGCGATGTCACACTAAGACAGACGTCACTGCTGTCCTGCTGGGAGGACTCATCTGTCAACGCAATATGACCTTCAGACCAATTTCCAGTCACTTCTAAACACACCAGACAACCTCCTTTTCTGCCATTAAGCACCCCTTGGTGCTTTGCAGCTTCACTGACTCTTCCAAGACAAACAATTGGCTGTCTACAAATATTAAACTCCTGAATCTCTTGGTTTTTATTAGTTGCAGTTAAGTGAAAAAAACAGTGTGTTTAATCACAAAACTAGTGGTTTAGCTTATAAACAACATGTTTATGGAGTGGGCAGAGAAAGGAGATGGGTTGTTTGGGTCATTAGTCCTAGTCCTTTATGAGTGCAAACAACTATGTAATAAACAACCCCAGAAGGAAACAGAATACCAACCAAACACTTCATGAACTTTGGACTTTGTCTCAGTGAAAAGCCACAAAAGTCATGATAGATCAGAACATGGAACAGAGAAGACCAGCAGAATGTTTTTCAATAACTTACTGATAGTGGTTATCACAAAACACTTAGCAAAAACCTACCTATGCAAAAGATCTACATGGGACACAAAAATTTAAATAATCCTAGGGAAGCAAATTCTTCAATAGCAGAGAGGCAGCATGGAAAAGGGACAACAAGCACCACCAAAAACCAACCAACCAACCAAACCTCAAACAAGCAGATTACTGTTCCTAGCCTTTAGAGATCATCAAAAAACCATGTTTTAGATACTAAGATACAAACTTACAAATAGTTTAGAAAAGGTAAAAGGGTGTTTTAATGCACAATACAAATGTGAAAGTCAAATCTAATAAATAAATGACAGTAAAAGAAAAAGCTTATTCTTAAGGCCTTTTGTGTAGTGACAAACACCTACATAGTTCAGAAAAAAACTAAGAGCTCACTGTTCCATGATTGATTACAGGAATTTGGCTGTTTCCTGTTATTGTCAACACTAAATAATAAAGTTGTCCTTCAAATCAGAACAGTTTCTAGACTGTTGACTGTTCAATGTCTTAGTACTCCACATCTTGGTACCTATATTTTTTTTAAAGTTAAGGTCCACTACAGCAACTGCAGGGTGGCTATCTCTACACAAAGGATAAAGTCTTCAAAAAGGGCAAGAAGTATGACCCAGGAAAGTACAGGCCGGTCAGCCTCACCTCCATCCCTGGAAAGACGATGGAACAGCTTGTTCTGGGTGTCATCTCAAAGCACCTGGAAGAAAAGGTTATCAGAAGTAGTCAACATGGATTCACCAAGGGGAAGTCACGTCTGACTAATCTGATAGCCTTCTATGATGGTGTGACTGGATGGGTGGATGAGGGGAGGGCAGTGGATGTTGTCTACCTTGACTTTGGCAAGGCTTTCGACACTGTCTCCACATTATCCTCACAGGGAAGCTTAGGAAGTGTGGGTTAGATGAATGGACAGTGCAGTGGATTGAACAGTGACTAGCAGATAGAGCTCAGAGGGTTGTGGTTAATGGTACAGAGTCTAGTTGGAGGTCAGTAACGAGTGGCATCCCTCAGGGGTCAGTACTGGGTCCAGTCCTGTTCAATGTATTCATCAATGACCTGGATGAAGGGATAGAGTGTACCATCAGCAAGTTTGCTGATGACACAAAACTGGGAGGAGTGGCTGACACGCCAGAAGGCTGTGCTGCCTTACAGCGTGACCTGGACAGGCTGGAGAGTTGGGCAGAAAGAAAC